ACAGAGAGCTGGGTCGCAGAGCTGCTGAATTACTGAGAGCAGAGACACTTAATAAAGCTGTAACACAGACTAAGCCAAGTCTTGAGTTCTGTGCCTTACTACCGGCGACCTAGCCTCTCCGGGGGGCGCACTCCCTCGTGACCTGACCGACTTGCGGACATCCTAGCTTTCGCTGTCCTCGTACTCTTCCCGTGGGGTTCAGTGGCCAGTGGACCTCGCATGCTGAGGAAAAGTACACGGGTGGAAAAGGGACAGGATTTCGGCTGGACAATGCTCCAGTAGCAGAGAGGCTGTCAGCACCGGAGCGGCAGACAGCGCCCTATCTGCTGCAGCTCCCAGAGACGCCTGTGGCCAGAGCCGTGCCACGACTTGCCAAGTGTGGCGGGGACCCCGAGATACCCGCGCACACCACGCCTGAGGCCCATAGAAACACGGAGAAGCCCGCAGGACCAGACCAGCTTTCCTCCAGATGCACGGCAGGGGAGTGCCATTCCGGGAGTGCGCCCAGAGAGCATGCGCACCATAGAACTGAACTACATTGCCATTCTTTCATTCTCTTGTATTTTACATTTGTGTGTGCACCACAGCACACATGTGAAGGTCAGAGGACAACTTGTGGGAATCAGTTCTCTTCTTCCACCATATGGATCCCAGGGATCAAACTCAAGTCCTCAAGCTTGGCAAAAATTGACTTACCTTCTAAGTTATCTCAACAACCCAACCTTTTTAGTTTTTGGGATAGAGTCTCAGTACATAGTTGACTTGAATTCATGATCCTCCTACCTTCTCCTCCATGGTGCTAGAATTAAAACATGCATCACATCACCACACCAGGCTTTTAAAGAAATTTCCTGAATCTGCATTATCTATGACCAATTACTATGTTTGATTTTAATAAAGTTTATTTTTATGTGTATAAGTGTTTTGTCTGCATGTATGTAAGTGCACCAACATTGTATAAAGCCTGGAGAGGCCAGAAGAGAGCAGGGATTCCTGGGAACTTAAGTTACAGACCGTTATTTGCTGCCTTGGGAACCAAACCTGGACCCTAAGAGCAGCTACTACTCTTAACCCCTGAGTCCTCTCCAGCCCCTTTAAAGTTTTTTGGAAACAGGGCCTTATGTAGCCACCAAGTTAGCCTCAAACTGATTATGTGCCAAGGATGATCTTGAACTCTTTTTTTGTCTTTTTGAGGCAGGGTCTCCTGGTAACCCTAGCTGGCCTGGAACTATGTAGACCAGGCTGGCCTCACAATCACAAAGATCCGTCTGCCTCTGCCTCCCAAGTGCTGAGATTACAGGCATGCAGCAGCAGCATGCCCAGCTAGTGAACATTTTTTTTTTTAATTTTATATGCATGAGTGTTTGGCCTGCATGTAACTGCACCCCTCATGCAATGCCAGAGAGGGCCTTGTATCCCCTGGAACTGAGTTGCACACAGTTGTAAGCCAGGATGGCACTACAGGAAACCAAACCTGAGTCCTCTGCAGGAGCAGCCAGTGCTCTTAACCACTAATCCATCTCTCCAGCAGGATCTCAAATTCTTAATCCTCCTGCCTTTGAATTACTGAATTTACATCATCAGGCCTGGATAGTTTCTTTCTCTTCCATCTCTATCATAATGTAAACTATTTTCTTTCCCTCCTACTTTTCCCTGTATTTCCTTCACAATTGGCCATTGTGATGACCGTTTTTACTTTTGTTTTTGAGACAGGCTCATTAGCTCATGGTGGTCTATGTAGCTAAGGATTTCCTTTAACTTCTTTCCCTCCACTACATCCACCTCCCAAGTCTGGGATTGCAGGCCTGTGCCACCACTCCCAGCTGAACAATTTTCTATTTTGGGAAAGATGCCAAATTGCTTTACTGCAAAACTGAATTCAATTCCACTGTCATCTCATCAATGAGCTATTTTACCACCACCTAGAATACCTGACACAAAATTTGCTCAATCCGTTGTGGTGGCGCAGGCCTTTAATCCCAGCACTCAGGAGGCAGAGGCAGCCCTGTCTCTGTGAGTTCAAGGCCAGCCTGGTCTACATAGTGAGTTCCAGGACAGCTGGGGCTATAGGGAGACCCTGTCTCAAAAAGACCAAACAAAACAAAACAAAACTATAATTGGCTGGACATGGTGGCTCATTCCTATAACCCAGAAATTTGGGAGGCTGAAGGAAGGGGCTCATCCCGAGTTTGAGGCCAGCCAAGGCTATACAGGGAATTCTTGGTCAGCTCTTCGTCTGGTGAGACCGTTAAAAAGTCACCGAGTAATAACGGTTATACTGGAACCAGTACAAGGTTTGAAAAGGCCCAGAGGTGCAATAGCTGGACCGGAAGGGCTGTAGCTCAAGTATTTTTTTCCCCCTTCAACGTTTCCAAGATAGCCTCAAGCAATTCAAAGTTGTGTGAACCAAACGCTGCCTTAAGAGGTTGGAAATCCGACCTCGCTGTAGCAAAAGGCTGCACCCATCTGTCTAAAGTTTCCTCATCCAGGTGTACTGCAAGCTCTGAACAAACGGTGGGAAGAGCGATAAAGGTTCGGATGAGTACCCTAAACGAACCCTCAAGCCAAGATGGCGCTCCTGAAAAAATCTGCCTCAGGCAAAACTTCTCGGTGCACGCACTTACGACGCATGTCTCGCTCGCACTCTCGTAAAAAAACGCGTACACTGCAGCATCCAATAAACCATAGTTAGTCCCCCAGCCTTTCCTCTATGCCCTTCACACATGCGCCCCAGGACCTTAGACGGTGCCTACTGCGCAGACGCGAACTCCTCCTTCCGCGCAACTGACGCAAGGAGACTGTAATCGGTGCGTAATTTATCCCGTGTGACCTTGAGTCTTTCCTGCCGGGAAGGACCCGGGCTGTCTGAGGTGTTGCCTGCATGGTCCTCTTCTCCTTCTCTCATCTCACTGGGCCCTCTGTCTCCGCAGCCGTGACAACAGGGCCGGATTTTTCCACACTGCTGTTGCGGAGCATGCGGTCGGCAGGTCCTGGTTCCGGGAGCGGCAGTCAGGTAGTCTCCGGTCAGGCGACGCGCGCGGCGGCTCGGCGGAAGAGCGGGCCTCTGGGCAGCGGTTGGCCAGCTCCCGCCCCCACCCCACGTGGGTGGAGGTTTCCAGAAGCGGAGCCACCACCTCGCCGCGCAGCTCGGGGCCTGTGGAGTGCTGGTTTGCTGCCTTGTAACCCTGTGTCCATCCGCCATGATAAGTGCCAGCAGAGCCGTAGCCGTGCGTCTCATGGGCGCCACAGCCTTCCGGGGCCCCGCGGCCGCTCGTCACCAGGTGAGGAACTTCGGCGCCTTCCGGAAAGAGCTCCGGGCCTGCTGAGTCGTACCCTTCGGGGTCGAACGGGAAAAACTTGGGAGGAGGGGTCAAGCGAGGTAACGGACCTCGCGTAGTTGGTACCGGTGGCTCACGGCCTTGCTCTGGGTTTGCCCCGAGCCCTGTTTAGTCACATACCTTGAGTTTGGAGTCTTACCCACTAATTCACAAGGTAGTGGTCCTGATAGTCCGACCTGTGGCTTGGTACAGGTGCTTGACCTCTGGGGTCGGGTCTGTAGTTTATTAGAAGGCTGAGCTACTCTGGGTTAATTCTCTGCAAATTATAGAGTGTGCAAGGATCTCGTTGCTATTATGAAATAAAGTGTGTGTGGGGGGGGTCACGTTAGAAATTGAAAATCCAATTTAAGTGCTTAGAAGTATCTTTTCAAAAAACTTGATTTATTCGTTATTTAGAATAATCAGAACAGGAAGAAAGGTCGTGGACTGGTTCCTCTTGATATGAAGTTAGAAAAAGTACATCTTTTGAAATGAGACCTAAAGATTTCCCAAAGTAGTTGCATGGTAGTGTCGGTGGAAATGTCTATGGGTGTCTGTACTTGAGTGCACATATTCAGGTCCAAGTGTACAAGACTGTGGATTAATTTTTGAAGCATTTTAATTGTGTTTCCCTAAAGCCATGATTTTCCAGAAGAAAGTTTTGTCCCCCACAGCACATCTTCCAATGTCTAGGTTGTCATGATTTTGAGAGGTGCTTACTTTCTGACTTGTTGGTAAAGGTTAGGGTTCCTGCTAAGCATCCTACATTCAGCCTTTCACAACAAATACTGGTTGAAGATCAATAATTCCTATGAAAAAAATCTGCCATGTAACTCAAAACAATTTTATATTTGCTTTTACCCGATTGGTCTGGAAAATTTTGTAGTTATATATGACCTCTTAACGTGTTAACGGTTTTTTCATTGTGTGCTTTATACCAGCTGCTATTTAAAACTTTGAAAGTTGCACATGTTCTCAGAAAAATAATTCAAACAAGTTCAAGTTTAGTTGATGCAACAACTTTCTTTTCTTTTTTCAGGATAGCTGGAATGGCCTTAGTCATGAGGCCTTTAGATTTGTTTCAAGGAGGGATTATGCGTAAGTATAACTTAAGTCTCTTTGAAAAAAGAATCAAACTAAACACCAGAGCTATGGTCTTATACATTGTGTTAATAGTCGCTCCTCTTCCTATTCATCTGTAATTGTAGTTTATACAGTGTGCTACTGTTGACTCCCATGTAAAATACAAATTTCTAGTATCATGTTGGAAACCATTATTAAGGTAACCCTGGTGTTGTTGTAAATGTCTTACAGATCAGAGGCAATCAAGGGTGCAGTTGTTGGTATTGATTTAGGTACTACCAACTCCTGTGTGGCCATTATGGAGGGCAAACAAGCAAAGGTGAGCATGATTGGGAGCCTGGGGTCACTTAGCTGTCCAATCCGGCATTGAGTACTTAGATGATTCTGAGATTTACTGCTGTTATTTTTTTTGTTTGTCTTTTGAGGTAGGGGCTCACTCTGTAACCCAAGCAGGCAATAGTCAGTGCTGGAATTGAAGTTACAGACAGTTGTTAGCCACCATATGGGTGCTGGGATTTGAACCCAGGTCTAATGCAAGAATAACCAGTGTTCTTTACCAAGGGGCCCATCTCTCTGGCCATAGTTTGTGTTTGTTTGTTTCTTGGTCTTTTTGAGACCTTTAGTCCCAGCACTTGGGAGACAGAGGCAGGTGGATCTCTGTGAGTTTGAGGCCAGCCTGGTCTACATAGCGAGTTCCAGGACAGCTGGGGTTAACAAGGAGACCCTGTGTCAAAAAGACCAAAAAAAAATTTTTTTTTAATTTTTGGAAATTTCATACAGTGTATTTTGAGCAAATTTAGAACCCCCCCCCCCACACACACACACATATACCCCGGCTACCCTACTTTTGCTTTTTAAAGACTTAGGAAATGATCATTTGGGTGTTGATCATTGAATGGATAGGATTTAACTTTTCTGGGGATTAGAGGTGATAATTTACCCTTAGGAGGACTTGAAATGATTTTGTTAGAAGTCTGGCAGTTTTGCATTTCAGAGGTGCAGACTTTAGAAGCAAGTAGAGTTCCACATTCAAGAGCTTCATGTTATGTAGAGGCTGATAGAGTCTCCTTAGTATACATGAAACTTTTATTCCCTCTGGGTTATCAAGAGTTTAAGAGTACCTGAGATTCTAGAGTCTTGCTTGCTTCATTCAGGTACCTTCATGCTTCTTCTAGGTACCTTCATGCTTCTTCTTTCCTCATGCCCTTATCTGAAACAACTTGGGCTACTTGCTTGGTATCAAGAGAAGATGAGCCTTCCTTAGCCCTACTTAGCTTTTTATGTTTTCCTCTGTGTCTGAAATTTTAGCTTCCACATACATTTGAAATATTCACTGAGCAGTATTTATAGCAGTAAAGCATGCCAATTTAGTTTACTATCCTTCATCATTTGTTTTATGATGTGTCTTAAATCATTGCCACAAATAATGTTAGTGATGACTGGTACTTTAATCTTTGTCTTACTTGGGGAATTTTAGGTTCTGGAGAATGCTGAAGGTGCTAGAACCACCCCTTCCGTTGTTGCCTTTACAGCAGATGGAGAACGGCTTGTTGGCATGCCAGCTAAGCGACAGGCTGTCACCAACCCAAATAATACATTCTATGCTACTAAGCGTCTCATTGGCCGCCGCTATGATGATCCTGAAGTACAGAAAGACACGTGAGTAATAGCAAAAACACAACATAGAAGATTGTTTTAAGATCTTCCTGAGCACTAACCATTTTACAGTGTTCATGGGGAAAATCCACACCTCCACTGAAAGAATAACTTCAAATTAAACTCATTTTGCCTTCACAGATTAGGCTTTTGAGTTGGACCACATAACAGGTCATGTATTAACATTTGTTAACGTTTGTGAGGCACTCCTGAATTGAGCAAGTTAGCCTTTACCATGTAAGGCAGATAATGGCATAGAGAGAAACAAGTTTGCCCTTTTTTTGGTCTTTTTAAAATTTCTTCTTTTTCAACTGTGCTTTTAAAAACACAGAGCTATACTAAGAATTAAGAGATATGCTATATTTCTTTAGGGATTGCCTTGTTGGTTTTTTTTTTGGTCTTTGAAACAGGGTCTCCCTGTAGCCCCAGCTGTCCTGGAACTCACAGAGATCCACCTGCCTCTGCCTCCCAAGTGCTGGGACTAGGGCATGTGCCACCATGCCCGGCCTTTGTTTTTATTTTATGTGTGTGTTGCCTGCATGAATGTAACCGCGTCAAGATCATGCAGTGTCAGTGGAGGCCTGAAGAGGGCATAAGATCCCTTGAACTGGAGTTAAGGACAGTTAGCTTACATGTAGGTTCTGGAAACCGAACCCAGGTCCTCTGCAAGAGCAAGCTGTGCTCTTAACTGTTGAGTCATCTCTCCAGTCCCTTGGGTGTTTGTTTAGAGTTTCCCTGTCACTCCAGCCGGCCTGGAATTCACTATGTAGACCAATAGACCAGACTGGCCTTGATCTCAGAGATTCACTCGCCTCAGCTGGGATTAAAGGCATGCACCACTAGACCAGACCTGGCTTTGGTTTTTCTTTTTAAGAAAAAAATCATAGGGGCTACAGGGAGACTGTCTCAAAAAGACAAAGACAAAAGAAAACAAGTTTTTGCGTGCACATGCTTTCATTCATCTCAAGACCTAGTAGAATTGCTTTGTTATATGACACCTTTTTCATCAGCTATAACTACTTAGACAATTTTTAAGCAGTTGCAAAATATCACTTGGTGGGAAATGAGTTTTTTCAAGCTGACTTTTTTTTTTTGAGACAAGGTCTCCCTATTGTAGCCTCAGCTGGCCCGGGACTCACAGATACCCTTTTGCCTTCCAAGTCCTGGCATTAAAAGTACGCACAATCATGCCCCACAATGCTAATTATTTTTAGGCAAAGGCAGGTGGAACTCAGTGAGATCGAGGTCACACTGGTTCACATTGTGACTTCCAGGTGGGCTGTGACTAGGGAAACCCTGTCAAAAAAATCAACAAAAAGACCAAAAAAGGTGAGGGGAGTAATTTAAAGATTTCCAGAAGCTGGTTATGGTGGCCCACATCTTTAGTCCCAGCACTCAAGGCAGAGGCTGGTGAATCTCTTGAGTTAGACACTAGGGCACAATGGCCAGTTTTTTCTTTTTTTTTTTTTTTTTTTTTTGTCTTTTAGGAAGAATGTTCCCTTTAAAATTGTCCGTGCCTCCAATGGTGATGCCTGGGTTGAGGCACATGGAAAACTCTATTCCCCCAGTCAGATTGGGGCATTTGTGTTAATGAAGATGAAAGAAACTGCGGGTAAGTGAATATAGTTCACATCTAGGAAAATTTAAAGAACTGGTGGTTCCTCTGAGCTTATACTAATTAGCTCCATTCCCTGAAGATAAGTCTGGTGCTTTTTGTACAGAAAACATAGGAATGGCAAAATTTTGATAGGTTTGCATACTAAATCTGCAGGTTAAATTTAACTTTCCTAATGAAAGTTGGGTTTGGGGGAGGGGTTGGGGGTTTTTTTGTTTTGTTTTCCATTAGGGGGTAGTGTAGTGTTTTATGTTGAAAGACAGAAGGCTGCCAGTAAGCTTAAGTCTAAAGGTCATTGTACATTGGTGTACCTTCACTGAAATGCTAAAAGTGAGATTTTGAGTTTCCAATGACTACCCCTTCTTGCTCTGAGTATTTAAACCGAGAGCCTCACACAAGCTAGGCAGTTCTAGCACTGATCTACACACAAATACCCCCCGGATCTCAAAACACTGGAGGATGACAACAGTTGTGATATATATCCTAGGCTAGCCTTGAGCTTGAGACCTATTGCTTTGGCCTCTGAAGTGCTAAAATAGTATTTAGGGTTGTTTGTTTTTTGAGATAAGACTCTCCTACTATAGCTTAGGCTATACTTGAACTTATTTTGAAACCCAGGCTAGCCTCAATTGTAATGATCTTCCTGAATGCTGAGATTACCATGCCTGCTGATCATTTGCCTCCTGGGTGCTGGGATAATAATCTGCCTGTTTTATCTGACGTAGATAATAACCAACGTTGATTGGCTGGGAACTCACAGAAATCTGCCTGCACTCTGCCTTCTGAGTGCTGGGATTAAAGGCATGCACCACCATGTCCAGATCCAAGATTGAATTTTATTTTTTTAATTCTTTTCCAGAAAATTACTTGGGTCACACAGCAAAAAATGCTGTGATCACAGTCCCTGCGTATTTCAATGACTCACAGAGACAGGTAAGGTTAATTAGATTTATTTATAGAAAGTAGTGCTATCTTAATAAAAGGGAGGAAAGATGCTTTTATATTTATTTTCTCTAGGCCACTAAGGATGCTGGCCAAATATCTGGGCTAAATGTGCTTCGAGTGATTAATGAACCCACAGCTGCTGCTCTGGCCTATGGTCTAGACAAATCTGAAGATAAAATGTAAGTTTCTGCAGTGAATTCTCTTTTTTTTACTTTGGAATACAGATTTTATTTTTAAATTTATTTATCCTGTGTATGTGTGTGGGTGTACATCTGTCATGGCATACTTATGGGGGTCAGAAGACTAGTGTGAGCTGGTTCTCTCCTTTTCCCATGCGGTCCCAGGGGATTGAATTCAGGCTGTCAGGCTCGATGGTGACAAATACCTTTACCTGCTAATCCCCTCTTGGGGAAGGAGGTGTCTGGTTTCAATGAGTAGTACTGACTGGCCTGGACTTCATTCTGTAGACCAGGCTTGTCTTGAATTCACAGAAGTATGTCTGCTTCTATCTCCTCGGTGCTAGGATTAAAGGCATACTTCACCGTACCCAGCCTTAATTTTTTTTTACACATTTATTGTGTGTGTGAGTGCCGAAGCATACATGTGGAGGTCAGAGGGCAATATGTGCTTCCTTTAATATATTCAAGTCTGTATTGATTTGAGGGGTGTGTATGTTTGTTACCAGTGCCGTGTATTAACAGACTTAAACATAGGCGATTATGAGGTGTCATAACTATTAAATACCCCAGAGAAATAGCTATATTTATCTTCATTTGGTTATTGAATTCATTCCTTTGTGACAGGTTTTATTCCTTGAGGCTTTTTCTTTTTTTCCTAGCATTGCTGTATATGATTTAGGTGGTGGAACTTTTGATATTTCTATCCTGGAAATTCAGAAAGGAGTATTTGAGGTGAAATCCACCAATGGAGACACTTTCTTAGGAGGTGAAGACTTTGACCAGGCCTTGTTGCGGCACATTGTAAAGGAATTCAAGAGAGAGGTTAGTTACCATTATGGTTAATACATAGTTACTGAGTTGTCGAGAATTTCTTAGTTCAGGTTGCACTTTGCTTTGTTTACTTTTTTGCTTTAAAGTAATTAATTGCATTTCAGGTTTATGGGTAAACCAAACTGTTCAGTAATCATAGCTTTAGATTGGGAATAAGCAAAAGACTTAAAATATATGGTACTCAGTTACAGTATTAGAGAAGGAATTTTAGGAAATACATCAGGAGTCCTTGAGCTGGAAAGAGTTGACATCTTAGTCTCCTGACACTAGGAATAGATAATTCAATTATTCCCTACAGATTTTTTTAAAGATAATAAAATTTGTTTGCTTATAAAGAGATGAGCCCTTCATAAGCAAACAAAATGTATTTAACATTGTTACTGCAATTTAAATAAATACTAATCATTCCACTAATGCTATTTATTTTGTGTCTTCATTTTTTGTAGACAGGGGTTGATTTGACCAAAGACAACATGGCACTTCAGAGGGTGCGGGAAGCTGCTGAGAAGGCTAAATGTGAACTCTCCTCATCTGTGCAGGTTAGACATGGAAAAATCCCAGTAGTCTTAGTAGCTGTTTTTAGCCTGAGTTTATTTGAATAGCATATTCTAATTTACCTAGTGGCAGTAAATCCTCATTACAGTTTTCTGATTGTTAAAAACTTTTGTCATGGGCAAAGGAACAGTATGATCATTTGTTTTTTATGAATGAGCTAAATTTTTTAAATATTTTATGTGAATGAGCGTGTTACCTGCATGTTAATGCCCTTGGAGGTCAGAAGAGGGCATCAGATCCCCTAGAACTGGAGTTATGGACAGTTGTTAGCTGCCATGTGGGTGCTGGGGTTCAAACACAAGTCCTGAAAGAGCAGTCAGTGCTTTTAACCACTGAGCCATCTCTCCAGCCCATGGGCTAAAAACTTTAAGCACCAAAATCAGAGGTTTAAGATAGGTGGTTTAGAGCTGGAGGTTATAGCTCAATAGTAGAGTACTTAGCCAGTATATGTACACTCTTGAGGTCTAGTCACAACACTGTTTTTAAAAAAAAAAAAAAAAAAAAAAATAGTAAGTCAGGTATGATGGCACGGGCTTGCAGTTGTAGTTCTTGGGAAGCTTGAGGCTAGAACATCACCATGAACTCAGCCTGGACTGCATAGTTAGTTTTAGAACAGATTGGGCTACACAGCATGACCTTGTCTCAATAAAAAGAAATCGATTTGGGGGACAGGGGGAGCTAGTGATTGAACCCAGGGCTATGCCTGCTAGGCAAATGCTCTATATCCTCCAGCCCAGGGCATTAATTTAACACTAGTGTTGGAGCTGGAGAGATGGCTTAGCAGTTAAGAACACTGGCTGCTCTTCCAGAAGACCTGGGTTTGGTTCTCAGCACCCCATGATAGCTAATAACCATCTGTAATTCCAGTTTCAAGGGATCCAATGTCCTCTTCTGGCCTCCATGGGTTTGCACATAATGTGGTGCACTTAATATTCAGGAAAAATACTCAAAATAAAAACCTGATGTGTTTGAGATGGTCTCACTGTGTAGCCCTGACTGTCCTAGAACTTGCTCTGTGGACCAGGCTGGCTTTTCCTTTTTTTTTTTTTTTTTTTTTTTTTTTTGAGACAGGGGTCTCCCTGTAGCCCCAGCTGACCTGGAACTCACTATGTAGACTGG